CCTGGGATCATGCAAACATAGTTTTTACTCAGTCAAGTATTTTGAATTTATACATCAAATATTGATCCCATTAAACAGCATTTGAATAAATTCACCAACACCTCAAAACACCGAATCCCCGCAGGCCACTAAGTGTGGACGTCTACGGTTTAAAGATTCGCAAGAGTAGGGATAAATCCCATTAGCTTGACATACTGCCCGACAATACTCAACTAATAGTCGGTTTCATCTTTTGGCCAGCGCAATTAACTTTTTGAAAGAGCAATCTTTATAAAAGAATAAAAACAACCTTGTTCTTTGAAACTATCGTAATTACTTGCACTTTAAGCGTAACCCATTAATTGGTACTAAGTTTACTACCAAAATTATACGTCCACCTTTGGGTGACCCGTACGCTTTTGAAATAGCTCACTATAACCTTCTCGAAGGAGATTCGTCCTTGTGAACCGTCAAATAAAACGTCCTATGGGCTCGAATTAAATCACTTCACTGACAAACCTATAATGGAGACCTTGGATGTAATTTATTTCAACCCATTGCACACGTAATATAATTTTTATTTTATGGGATTTTCTTAACATTTTGTATTTGCACATAAGCAATCACGTAAAACATGCATGATTAATGAGCAATAATGAACTAGGAACTATTATCCAACTATCATGGCCTTTAATCAATCTCCAATGTTACGGAGAAAACACAGTCCTGTCCTTGTCGAGTGTGTCCTCCGTTTCAGGTATTGGAACTCTTTCTTTCGCAGTGACTCCCACTGAATTGGTCATCTCCGGGAAAGTCGCCATTGGATCATCACCATGGCATCCGTGTACGTATTTATGCCTCGCCCCGTCAAGGTTGGTCTACGCCCGCCGGATCAACAATAAATAATATAAACAACAATTACATAATTCATCCTATGACCCATGCAGGAGCCGTACATGAGTTTCTATGAAAGCAATAAACTATGTGGTGTCCTACCGCGCGAATAATTTATTACAAGCATTCACCAACCCAAAAATTCCTTGACATGTCCAAGGCTTTAAAAACAGCATACATTCAACATGAATTACAATCCATACATACGGGCCACAATAGTCGAATTCAAAACACCTGCAAAAACTAATTGCAATTTCTAATCTACTATGTCGTTGCGTCCGTACGCATATAATTCATGTAGACAGGCAAAGTCCAAAATTCAAACTGTGCACGAGTTTGCATTAAGCCTGGGCTCTGATACCAGTTGTTGGGTTCTGTTAGGAATGTCAAACAACACGCACAATATTGAACTTTATCGAAATAATTCCTAACGCAGCGGAATCTATAGTTAGGATGTGGACGTTTACCTTTTAAAAATTTTGCCGACTCTGAGACGATGTAGAGTACCGTTCGTGAAGTTCGTCTGAACACCACAACCTAATGGGCAGATAGGTCTGGCCTTTAGTCGATTCTAATTGACACGCCAAACGGTTCACGGTCTCGAGCGTCAGGGTGCAGCGGCGAGTGCGCGTCGGGCGCTGGCGTGCGTGTCGCGGACAGCAGCTGGCGTTGTGCGTCGAGCGCTGGTGAGGACGCGCGGGACGCGGACGATGCGCAGGTGGATGCCGGGTGCTGCTGGGCGAGTGCGCGCGTGCAGCGGGACTCCTTCTCCTACGCGGACTGGCGCTGGGACGCGATGGACACACGCGGGCGTGCTGGACACGGAATCCTGGACGCAGGTGGACTGTTGCGCGTGTAATGGACGAGTGCTAGAACCTCGCGATCAGCAACAGCGAGAAGCAGGGACGAACGGGCGTCAACGCTGGGAACTCGACTGCGGACAAACAGGCGTCGCTGGGACTTCACGTGCGGACTGGGCGATGCGTGAATCACGTGCGACGGCTTGCGGTTGCACACGGCTGGACTCGGCGGACCTCCGGCGGCTATGCGATTTTTCGGTGGCGGATCACGGCGGAGATCGGCGATGACAAGGTGATGATGATGACCGGAAAATATGGTTCATAGAAAGCTCAATCAACTATACCAAAAAGCCTTCTAACGGATTACCTAAACACCTACTTCGATCAAACTTGGTGGAGCGTTTAATCGAATCTCCTTAACTCTCGAACAAAGCAATTCTCACGTGTATGTAGATGAGAGAAATCGGCCAACACAACTTGTAGGAGAGGTTTGGGGTGTATATATAGGCTCCATTAGGGACCTTAAGGAGGTGCTAAATATGGGCTTATCCCATTAGGCCTAGGAAACCTAATTCTACTCCAATACTAATTTAATGTAGGAAGGAAACCTCCTACTAATCCTCTCCTTCTAGAAGAGTCCTAAGTCTCTTAACAATAGAGAAGATCCTTGTAGGAAAATCTTTCCTAATTAAATTAATAACTATGGAATAAAATTAATTCCTAATTTAGGAAACCTAATTTTACCCCAATTAATTATATAATGTAGGAAATATATTTCCCACTAATCTTCATCTTCTAGAAGACTCCCAAGTCTCCTAATCCCAAGAGAAGATTCTAGTAGGAATTTTATTCTCCTAATTAATTAATTAATATAGAATAAAATTAATTTCTATTTAATGGAATTAAATAATAAAACATCCCACTAGAGTAATATTATTGCTCTCCCCATTTAGCCACTATTTTACCAATAAAATCGAGCCTCCATGATTAAATAATATTAATCTGATTGATCGATTTACCTCCCTATGTTTAAGATATAATGTCCGTTGATTAATTAAATTACTGACAAAATAATTAATCAACTTCTTATTCATTTCCGATATTAGTACCACTCAGCCTTTAACCATTATGTCAGACAATCGTCTACCTGCAGGGTTTAACATAAGGTTCTTTTCTGAGCTCCTTTCGGGGACATCATCAATCCAGCGCACTGGAACATAGTCACTGTAAATAATCTACAATAGCACATCATATAATTATTCTTACTTACAAAAATACCTCGTATGTCATCCTAACAGAATAGTAATCACTTGGTAAATCAAATAAATAAGAGATAAAAATATATGCCTATTTTATATTATATTACAGCTTAAGAGAACACATCAATCACTGAAGGGCGAGGTTACAACAACGGTCAGTGAGTCTCATAACCTTTGCCTTCCGTGGTCCTGTTCAACACTTAACATAAGTGCCAGTGTAATCCTTCAGTCAAAGACCAACTAAATCGGGAATACACTACAGTCTTTTTCCAAGTGGGGTCTCACTGCCAGTCTAGACTGTGAACGAATAGTTTAGTCTTATAAGGAACTGAAAGGTGATCTTTTTGTTCGAAACTCTTCGAACCACACTATCTCAATATAAGACATGGAGTATGTATTGCATAAATAAATAAACTGCAAACATATGTACTTTGACCGAAACATGATTGCCAGATCAAAATGGAATTGATAGAAACTGCAAAACATCGCTTTTACAGCATACCTCTAACAAATGTTTGGTTAATAAAATTAACCAGACTTAGACTAATTATACTAGTCGGTCAATTTAAATATTATAATTGGTCTCGAATTTAAAATTGACAATAAGCTCGATTTTAAAATGGACTAAAATAAAATCGAACATGAGCTCGATATACTGAAATGGGCTGAAATAAAATCGAACATAGGTCTGATTAACTTAAATGGGCTGGCTAAAATAATTGGACTCGCTTGAAAGTGATTGGGCTCGAATAAATAAATTATTCGGCTTCGATTCGTTTAGTAAAATCTCCGCTAATTCCAAGGCTCGATTTAAAATAGAATCGATGCTTGGGCTATATGAGTCCGACTTTATAATTAAAATCGAATTAATTCTTCATGGCTTAGACTCGAATACTAATTATTTAATTTAATGCAAAATAATAATAAATGCATCAAATTGTGAAACTTAATATTTTTGGAAATATAGTCGAGCTCCATAAATAGTAAATGAAAATTCAGGGCGTTACAATCTATCCTCCTTAAAACATTTCCGTCCTCAGAAATGCTAAACTAAAATATATGTCATAACTCAAAACTAGTATTCTAAGCTTTAAACTCGGTCTTCCTCCTACTAGTGATCTTAGCTATGCCACGAAAATTTCGATTTCAGGCCACCAGGCATGATATGGGATATTATATACTCAAGGATAAACCGGCCTATTTGGCCGGTCGAGGAGGCTAAACTGAGGGGAAGCCAAACCAACAGGGGCGGGAAGACCGAATATTCGCATAATCGACCAGACATATGATCGAGCAAACTACTCGACCTCAGCAGGTCGATCGCATCGAGGAACCCATAATCGACCTGGTTGTGGGCGCGTGTACCGTAGGCGCGCGTAAGAGCCTCTAACTGAAATCTTCAGAGAATATTCAACCCATGTGCTGGGTAAACACGTGTCGATAACGTATTGGGTGATGGTGGAAACCACCTCTGACAACCCCCAATGCCCTGCGCCACCTCTGACATGTGCGCGGCGTGTCAGAGTACAGACGGGCAGCTTTGGCAGCCAGCTCACCTTATCCGGGCAGCTATTAGGGCAGGTATCTCGCCCCTATATAAAGGGGGCGAGCCTTTATCCCTTAACACATTCTATTCATTCTCTCAATTCCAGTATACTCAGACACATACTGACTTAAGCATCGGAGGCTCTTCACTGGATCCAACCCCCGGTGTGAGAGATATTTGCAGGTTTCCGGCATTCTACCGGTGAGGACAAGAACCGATCTACTCCAAACCGGACCCGGACGCTTACACTTGCATTATTGGCGCCGTCTGTGGGGACTTACTATTCAAAAAGTTGTGTTTGAAGCTCAGCTATGGCGGACGGAATTCCTAAAAACTTACAGTCAGCGTTCGATGAAGCTTGGACGACGACCAGGCCGCTGGGGCACGACCCACCTCCGGGCTTTTCTGGCCCATCGCAGACTCCGATCACGCCCGCACCTAACTTCCAAGGTGTAGGAGTGACGGCGGGGATTCCCGGAGGAGACGCCAGCTCCAGTCAGGCCCAGGAGGCTCGGGTAGCAGCGACAGCGGCGATGCCGCCGCCACCACCACCACCAGATCCAATGCAGCGGCAAGGAGGAGGGCTGGCACAAGAAGGAATGCCACCACAGGCAGCTGTACAAATCCCCGGCCAACAAATGGTGGCAATGACCCGGGAGGAGATGCAAAGGATAGCGGCGGCCGCGGCGGCGCAAGCGGTGCAGCAAGTTGCAAGTCATACTTCTCATGCCACCACTGCGCCAACCACGGTGGTCGGAAGCCAAGACGATGATGTGTCTAGTTATGGAGAAGGAGGAGCTGGAAGGGATCGTGCGATGGAGAGGATGGTGGAGCAGTTGCGCTAATTACAAGATAAAGTGGAGGGGAGGCCAGAGAGGAGAGCTCGAGGACACCCCTTTTCAAGGGAGATTCTCACTGCTCCGTTGCCAAACAATTTCAAGGAGACCAACTTGGTGTATGACGGGTCATCTGACCCATCGAGGCATGTGAGGACCTTTGAAAATATGGCTGTGCTACATGGGTACTCTGATTCTGTTTGTTGTAGGGCATTTCTATCGACCTTGCATAGAGGAGCACTCGATTTGTTACACCAACTGCCACCTGGGTCGATCCCGAGCTTTGAGGATTTTACTGGCAAGCTTATCAATCAATATTCGAGCGCGGTGGTGCAGGAGAAAACGTATTTGACTTTGATGGCGATGAGGCAGGGGGAGAAAGAGTCATTGAGGAAGTATGTTGCTCGGTATAACCAAACCTGTTTAGAGGCACACTCGGCTTCGGATGAGGTGAAGGCGGGCGGATTGATAAGGAGTCTTTGAGCACGGCCTTGTCGAACTTCCCTGGCGAAAACCCCTGCTCGATCGTATGAGGATGTGCTGAAGCGATGCAGGAAGTATATCAACTTGGAGGAAAGGGAGATGGAGTTCGCTAAGTTGGAAGGAGTGGCTCGACCAGAGCCAAAAAAGGAGAAGAGTCCGCAGAGAGGGAGATCGCCGAGGAGGGATTCGCCCAAGCGGGGTGGACAGAAGAGGGCATCGCCTCGAAGGGAGAGTCGAGATTCGAAACGGGAGAAGAGGGATGAGTGGCAGAGGAGGCCGATGTTGTTTGAGAGACATAGATATCAAACTTTCACGCCCTTGAGGAAAGATATGACGGAGGTTCTCGAAGCCATGGAACATAAAATGCCGAGTGAGGATGTGACTTGGCCAAAGACGAGGTTTACAGGCCCAATTCGACCCAGGTCGGATATTTACTGCCGCTTTCACAAAGATTATGGCCACACCACGGAGAATTGCAGACATCTGAAGGATGAGATCGAGAGGCTGATTCGAGCAGGTTACTTGAAAGAATTTGTATATCATGATAGAGTGAAGGGGAAATAAAGGAGAAGGTGTAGAGAAGACTCGGAGGAAAGGAGCGATAGAGATGAGGAGGGAGATGGTCGAGGCGGTCGAGGAAAGAAGCCAAGAAGAGATGATGATAAGGGAGGACATGGAGGAGAGGCCTCGATGAAGAGAGGAAGTATTTACATGATCTCCGGTGGGCCAACCGATGATGACTCGAATAGGGCCAGGAAGGAGCACGCTTGAGCGGTGAAGATGAAGAGAGAGGAGGTGGGGATTACGGCCCGGTGAAGATGACTCGAATAGGGCCAACCGATGATGACTCGAATAGGGCCAGGAAGGACGAGTTTGAATGCATTCCAGGCAGTCGTATCCACGTACCACATGACGATCAAATATCCAGTGGGCGAAAACGTAGGGGAGATCGCCGGGGATCAGCTCACTTCGAGGAGTTGCTACCAAACAATGGTCAGCAACAACAAGCAGTTGGCGAAGAGGCAGGCCGAGTCGAAGGGGAGGAAATTAATCGACTAGGAAGATCGAGGTCAAAGGAGGATAAGCGGAGAGTGGACAAAGGGAAGAAGAAAATGGATATCCAACCTGGGGAAGAAGTCGAGGAGATTCAAATGATCGAAGGGTGTGAAGGGAGAAAGTTCAGGATTGGAAGGGATCTGGAAGAGCCTACTCGGTCGAGGCTAATTCGGTTGGTTAGGGAGTTCGCTGATATTTTTGCCTATACAGCTGAAGAGTTAACGGGAATAAGTGCGGAGGTGATCGAGCATCGGCTAAACATCGACCTCAGCGTGAGGCCGGTGAAGCAGAAAAGAAGGCACCATGGTGCGGAGATGGATAAGATCATCGAGCAGGAGGTCGAGAAACTGTTAGGGGCACGACATATCAAAGAAATCCAATTCCCCGAATGGTTGTCGAACACAGTGATGGTGTCAAAGGCAGAAGGGAAGTGGAGGATGTGCATTGATTTTCGCGATTTGAACAAAGCATGCCCGAAGGACCTATACCCGCTGCCCAGAATTGACCAGTTGGTCGATTCAACGGCTGGATGCGAGTTGTTGAGCTTGATGGATGCCTCTCAGGGATACCATCAGATTCCCTTGGCGAGAGAAGACAGGAAGCGGGTGAGTTTCGTAACAAGTCGAGGGACTTATTGTTACGTGGTCATGCCGTTCGGCCTAAAGAACGCGGGTGCCACGTATCAAAGGTTGGTCGATAAAATCTTTAAGGAACAACTGGGGAGGAACATGGAAGTGTACATGGATGATATGTTAGTGAAAAGTAAGGAGGAGTTGGACCACGTGCGAGATTTGAAGGAAACGTTCCTAACATTGCGAAGGTATGGGATGAAGCTGAACCCCACCAAATGCTCTTTTGGGGTAAGGTCAGGAAAATTCTTGGGTTATTTGGTGACCAAGAGAGGTATAGAAGTCAATCCAGAGAAGGTTCGAGCTGTGGTGGACATGAAGCCGATGGCGAATGTTAAGAAAGTGCAGATCTTAGCTGGTCGAATTGCGGGGCTGAGTCGTTTCATATCGAAGGTGGTGGAGAAGAGCGGCCCATTATTCAAAACATTAAAAAAGAGTGCGAAATTCCAGTGGGCACAGGAGGCACAAAAGGCATTTGATGAGTTGCGAGGAGTGCTGGCCAACCTTCCATTGTTGGCCAAACCCATGCGGGGCGAGGAGTTGGTGCTATATATTTCTATTGGAGAGAGGGCTGTGAGTTTGGTGTTGTTGCGAGAGGAAGGAATAGCGCAATTCCCTATCTATTATGTGAGTAGGGTGATGCAGGGGGCCGAGATGAGGTATTCGGAGATCGAGAAGTGTGCTCTAGCCGTGGTGGTAACTGCTCGAAAGTTGAGACCCTATTTCTTAAATCATAAGGTGAAGGTGCGAACGAATATGCCGCTAGGAGAAACACTTGGTCGGCCATCGGTCTCTGGTCGATTGGTGAAATGGCCAGTCGAATTAAGCGAATATTCTTTGATATACGAGCCAAGGAGAGCCATAAAGGTACAGGTGTTGGCTGATTTTATCCAGGAAGGCACAAAATTCGAGGAGGAGTAAGAGGGATTATGGCAGTTGTTTGTGGATGGATCGGTGGCCCGGAGCGGGGCTGGATTGGGAATTGTCCTTGTTTCTCCCAAAGGCGATTACTTGGAGTTTGCGGCCAAAGTGGGATTCAAGATATCCAATAACGAAGCTGAGTACGAGGCGGTGATTAAGGGCTTGAGTCTAGCCAAAGCAGGAGGAGCTCGAAAATTGCAAGTGCATTCTGATTCTCAACTGGTGGTAGGGCAGTTTCAAGAAGGGTTTGAAGTCAAGGAGGATCGGATGCAGAAATATGTGGATGAGATAAAAAAGCTGAGAGAAGAGTTTGATTCTTTTGAACTAATACAAATTCCTCGAGGAGAAAATGGTCGAGCAGACCTATTGTTGAAGATTGCTCAGAGCTTGGTTGACTGCAAGAGTAGAAGTGTCACTTTTTTGCACCTTGAAAGGAGTGTGATCGAAGCGGAAGTGGCGGAGATTGAAGAGGTGGAGGATTGGAGGGCCCCGATCTTGGAGGAGTTGAAGGGAGGAGCAATAAAGGTGGTCAGAAGGTTTTTCGAGCACGAAGGCATTCTTTACAAACGGTCATATGGAGGACCACATTTGCGTTGTGTTACTAAGGAAGAAGGTCGATATGTGTTAAGAGAAATGCATGAAGGGTGTTGCAGTGACCATAGTAAGTCCGGAGCCTTGGTCGCGAAAATTTTAAGGGCAGGATATTTTTTGCCAACGATGAGGGAAGATACGAAGATGATGGTGAAGAAGTGCTTGCAATGCCAAAAGCACGGCCCCCTTATCCACCAACCGGCTGAAGCCATGACAACGATGAGTGCTCCTATACCATTCGCCCAGTGGGGTATCGACCTGGTGGGGCCGATGCCTCAGGGCACCGGGCAAAGGAAGATCCTAATAGTGGCGGTCGATTACTTCACGAAGTGGGTGGAGGCCGAGCCCTTAGCAAAGATTACAGAATAGAAAGTAATTAAATTCATATACAACAACATCTGCTGCCGTTTTGGTGTACCCAAAGTGTTGATTTCCGATAACGACACTCAGTTCAATGTGAAGCGGATTCGAGCATGGTGTGAAAGTATAAAATTGAGCAACACTTTGCCTTCGTGGCCCATCCGCAAGCTAACGGTCAGGTCGAGGTAACTAATCGAATTATACTGAATGGGCTGAAGACAAAGTTGGAGAAAGCCTCGGGAGCATGGGTCGACGAGCTGAGTTCTGTACTCTGGGCGTATCGCACAACTCCAAGGTCGACCACAGGAGAAACCCCGTTCAGTTTAGCTTATGGGATAAAAGCGTTGCTACCGGTCGAGATCGAGTTATCTTCCCAAAGGTCGAGCACGTATAACGCTGAACAGAACGAGGATCTGATGATGGTGGCCTTAGATACTATCGAGGAGCTGCGTGGGAGAGCGGCAATTAGGGTGGAAGCGTACAAACAGAGGATGCGAGCCGCCCACGACAAAAGAGTGAAGGTTCGCAAGCTCCAAGTGGGAGACTTGGTCTGGAAGCATGTCGACGTGCTCAAACATGTGGGGAAGCTGGAGCCGAACTGGGAAGGACCATACTTGGTCGAGCGAGTGCACGCAGGAGGAGCGTACTCGCTGAAGGATGCTGAAGGCCGATCACTCGCCAGGTCATGGAACATAGCTAATTTGGAAAAATATTACGTGTGAAAATTTTTATTTCTTTTGAAAAGAGAGCGGAGAAATTACAATGGAAATGTAAATTGCAAAGTTTGCTCACGAGACAATGAAATTTAATGATTTTTCTAATTCTATTCGCTTTATTATACATCTTCTTATGTTTGGAATGTTGGTATGATATGAATGAAAGAATATGTATAGTATGGTTTGACTTGAGAATTGCTTGTTTAGAACATCCCTTGGGGTGGGCAGGTTGGTCGAAAAATCTCCTGTTTAGAACATTCCTCGGGGTGGGCAAGTGTAAAGACCTAAACCCACCAGGAATAAGGCCCTCGGACTGGGTGGTTGCTTGTTTAGAACATTCCTTGGGGTGGGCAGGTTGGTCGAAAGATCTCCTGTTTAGAACATTCCTCGGGGTGGGCAAGTGTGAAGACCAAAAACCCACCAGGTATAAGGCCTTCGTGCTGGGTGGTCGCTTGTTTAAAACATTCCTTGGGGTGGGCAGGTTGGTCGAAAGATCTCCTGTTTAGAACATTCCTCGGGGTGGGCAAGTGTGAAGACCAAAAACCCACCAGGAATAAGGCCTTCGGGCTGGGTGGTCGCTTGTTTAGAACATTCCTTGGGATGGGCAGGTTGGTCGAAAGATCTCCTGTTTAGAACATTCCTCGGGGTGGGCAAATGTGAAGACCAAAACCCACCAGGAATAAGGCCTTTGGGCTGGGTGGTCGCTTGTTTAGAACATTCCTTGGGGTGGGCAGGTTGGTCGAAAGATCTCCTGTTTAGAACATTCCTCGGGGTGGGCAAGTGTGAAGACCAAAAAACCCACCAGGAATAAGGCCTTCGGGCTGGGTGGTCGCTTGTTTAGAACATTCCTTGGGGTGGGCAGGTTGGTCAAAAGATCTCCTGTTTAGAACATTCCTCGGGGTGGGAAAGTGTGAAGACCAAAAACCCACCAGGAATATTAAGGCCTTCGGGTTGGGTGGTCGCTTGTTTAGAAAATTCCTTGGGGTGGGTAGGTTGGTCGAAAGATCTCCTGTTTAGAACATTCCTCGGGGTAGGCAAGTGTGAAGGAAAAACCCACCAAGAACAAGGCCTTCGGGCTGGGTGGTCGCTTGTTTAGAACATTCCTTGGGATGGGCAGGTTGGTCGAAAGATCTCCTGTTTAGAACATTCCTCGGGGTGGGCAAGTGTGAGGACCAAAACCCACCAGGAATAAGGCCTTCGGACTGGGTGGTTGCTTGTTTAGAACATTCATTGGGGTGGGCAGG